AGGGTTAGCTGGTCGACATGCATTCAATCGCTGACGCACACACCCCTGTGATGGTTAGGGTTAGGGTAAGGGGCTTTAGGAAGCTGTCAACACCTTTTATACTAACATAGCTAGCTACCTAGTGCTTCCGGTCTAGACAGGGCGTCTCATACATACTCGCCCGGGGGCATTTCATACGCATGCCGAAGGGTACCTTTTACATCAAGGTTTCATCATCAAAGTTTCTGACCCAACCCATGTCCTACACGCTGAGCATCAGCTTCTGCCCTCTGGGAGGAGGTTCAGGTTCCTTAGCTGCAGGTTAAACAGATTTAAGCAGCAGGTAAGGAAAGATTTTACTGCAGGGATTTAATCACATCTTTTGATATTAATTCACTAACACCTTTGTACATTTTGTATGTGGAATGGTTGTTTCTTTTTTCATGGATGAAAGCTGAAGCCAAATAATTTACTTTATCTTCAATCTTGTTCGCTTTACTTCGCTTACTCTTTAACCGGGTCCACTCCCGCCCTCCCCGGCTTTATTACGTATGTACTTCCCTTGCTTTCTTTACAGCTTTTGGAATAAAATGACCGTTATCACATAAACCAGTGCCTGTACTTTTTAACTATATCAATCATATCAACTAAAGCAGAGTCAGGGGCCAAATCTGTATAACAGCTACGTGGTGTGTTATAGTAGCTGTACAGCACACCAGCCTCCCATCTCCTTGATGGGAGGCTGGTGTGCTGGTGTGAGGAGAAAATCAAACGCCAAAGTCAATGACCAGAAGTGCATTAAGTTATTATTTTATAGGGGTGGATTAGGCCGCTCCATGTGTGTGTTAAATACTGGTTGGGTAGGATCTGCATTGTCCTTTTGGAGCCATCTTGGCAGGGTGCAAAATAATCACCAGCCACCAGCCAGATGCTGGTAAAATATGCAAATGGACGGTAGATTTACTTCACTCACCAGCCAAAAAACAACAGTAATCTATTGAGTGGCTGGTGCACTTCGAACATTCACTCGCCATTTGGCTGGTGGACAAATTTTGCATCCTTGACTTTGAATTGTTTGTACTGGTCACCTTTATTTAGATGAGTTTGTTAATTTACTTCCCATTTTCCGCGATTTATTAATTGCTAAAAAGGGTTCTTATTTTCAACGTTCTTCCTGCGGTGAATTCGAGACTGAAATGTCCTAATTACAGGAGATCCAGGAACATGATACGCAGGGCCAGGAAACACTGAGTTCCAGTTAAAACAAACCAACAACGATAACAACAGTTGGTAGGAAGCCAAATGCAAACTGCGGTCTGTTAAATGGAAACCTCATTAGAGAGCTTTCTTTGCACCCTGGGGTGGTTCTGGTCCTGTATGTGTCTCCTACATCTTCATCTCAGCAGCACAGCGTTCATTAAACTGTTTATTTTCTGTCCATTCGCTTCATTTTCCTTCAGCATCAGGCTGCGACACACCTCCTCTCTCTGCGCTCTCAAATATGGTCCCTGCATACCCGCACACATGTATATGTCTTCCCTCTTTTCATGTGACAGACACACACTACTCATTAAACACCTGCTGTCAGTTACCTGCAGCAGGGCACGGGGGCTGCTGCCGGGGATAAATTGTGTCAGACCTGGGGTTTGTAAAACAGGGGAATGAGCATGGCTGTGTGTTTCCATCAACATCAGGAATTGAAGGGTCGAGGCGGCGCAGCACAGGTTTCCCGTAATGAATTCCAAACGTTGTAGACAGTTTGGTGAGAAGCTGTGGAAATGTTCAGTGCTCAGGTCTGCACAAACATGACAAAGTGAGCTGTTATGTGTCTGGGGTCGTGGTGATGTTCTCAGCTTCCTTTTATCAAATCTCAAGTTCAGACTCAAACCAGTCCCGAGTGTCTCACAGCCTGATGTCTCCTCTTCCTCTGAGCCATAGAAACTATCATCAGGGAGCCTCACTGCTGCACTGGCTCACATGTTCCTCCATCAGCATGAACACACACACTGTAGTTTATTCTGACTCAGGCCCACGAACACCGTCCTGCTGCCCCAGACACTCACTAGAGCACCACATGTGGTCCTTATTTATAGGGCACTTTTCAAAATCCATGTTACAAAGTGCTTTCACATGGGCAGAAAATAAAACACACACGTCATAAAATCAACTGGTCCTCCAACCTAAACGACAAAATAGGAGATTTATCCATGCCAGTCCAGAGACCGGCAACCAGACCTTAACTATGTTATGTCACATGACATTAAAGAGGTGGTATTCTGCTCATTTTCAGGTTCAGAATCTTATTTAGAGGTTGTACCAGAGCAGGTTTACATGGTTTAATATTTTTGTCATACTGCACATTGCTACAGCTCCTCTTTTCAGCCTGTGTTGAAGGCTTCGTTTTAGCTATGGAGTGATACATCTTGTCTCTAAATGATCTTTGTTGGGAGTCGCACATGCTCAGTTCCTAGTTAAGGACTACTAGCCAATCAGAAGCAGAGTAGGGCGGGTCAGCGAGAAGCCGGTAAACAGCTCGGGTTGCAAACCTGTTACATGCACAAAAAAGGTTTATAACTCATTAAGGAGAGGGAAAAAGCCAAAAAGAAGAAAACCACCTCTTTACTGTTTGGATAGGTTTAGGAAAACATTGTGGTTTGGATTAAAATAATATGACAGAACTCGTGACGGAAGTCAGCAACACTATTTAACTTAAAAAACAAAATAACCATTTACTTGCTGTCATACGGGACTCAAACTCAGTTCTCCTGTGAGAAAGTCCTGGGTTGGTTTAGACCCATCCACCTCCTTTTGCAGACTTTCTCACAAGTTACAATATATCACCCAACTTCTTCCTTTGCTACCGTCGTTCGCTACCACAACAAACGTTAGGGTCATTAAGGGTCATAATAACGTTCTAGCTCACAGGAAATGGTTACTGGTACTCCTTTTTCCCTCCCTCTCTCTCAGACTGAGCCACACGTGCTGTACTTACAAATCCCCATATGGATCCTCTTTTTGTCCGTGTAGGGTGGGATTTGTGAGAAAACAGAGGGGAGATGTTTGGAAACGTTTTTCTTCTTTTCTTTTTCGTGAAAATACCCCACACCTCCCTCTGTATGGTTCGGCACGCAGGTGAACTGTGGATTGATTGCAAAGTTTAACCATCACAGCCTGAGAAAAAGTAAAGTTTTACTGCCACTGTTACTTTTATATAGCGATGCAGAGTTGCAGTGAAAAGACAGAGAAGACAGATGCATGCTGTGTGCGACAGAGGGCAGAGCCACTGATTTAAAAACCGTCATTAGCCGTGTTTCCATCAACGTTTTTTACGCGCATTTTAAAGTATCGCATTAGGAAAAGGTTGATAGAAACAGCACAATTCGAACAAAACTTTAGGCAAGGCAAGTTTATTTGTATAGCACATTTCAACAACAAGGCAATTCAAAGTGCTTTACATAAAACATAAGCAACAGGGAAATATACAACAGTTTAAAAGCAACACAATAGGGAAGTTAATTAAAAAATACACATTAAAATAATAATAAAAGTTACAGTGCAATGTACAACCAGGTTTCAAAGAGTTAAATGGAAAATAAAAACAGGCTGAGAGCTTGAGCAAGTAATTGAGTTACAATTATTCTGAAAAGAGAATAAACAGAGAGCTTTAACTTTAACTTAATTTCACAACAAAGTTTTTCTGATTATTAGTGATATTATTTCTGTTGTTGATTTTAATCATCATTTACTATTGATTTTAAATATTCTAATTTATGCACAGATCAATGTTATTTGTTATGATTATTTTCATTTACATGCATTGTTATCAACACAATAATACACCACATGTATGTCGACTGTATTGCAGAACAAAAAACTTCTGCTCTGTGTGACACCACAACAATTACATGACCCTGTATGTTCTAAATTATGCACAGGTCAGTGTTACTTCAGCTATTAATGTACTTGCATTGTTATTTGTATAAAAACACGCCACATAAAGTGTGCATGTCGATTGTACTGCAAAATAAAAGAATGAGCAGCTGCTCTGTGTGACGCCACAACTCTGCAATTACATGACCCTGTATGTTCTAAAGAATTATCACACATGGTGACGCTGCATTTTATTGCATCTGACCATGTTCACGCTCCTTCATTACCTGCACACATGTGGAGGTGCTGCATTATAGGTCACACTTCGGCATAGGAAACACCTGTGCCTCCTCGCTCTAAGCTCCTCCAGAAGCTTCCTCTCTCCTCTTTCCTCGTCTCCTCGAGGTGCATTTAAGGGATTGGAAGATCCGGTTAGCGTAATGAAAAGCACCCCCTAATCGAGTCTGGTCGGGTCTTTCGTTGCTGCAGGTCTGCACCTCTGTGTTGTTTCATTTTCTTTGTTTGTATCCCTGCACTGCTGACTTTACAGACTCCATCCATCCATTGTCAACAACTCATCCTGGGGGGGCTGGCGCCAATCCCAGCTGGCATTGGGCAAGAACCCACCAGTGACTTTGCAGACTCCTCCCACTCATTTGCTTTGATTGTTTTGTCATAAATAAATTACTTTGTGATTTAGTATACCTGTGTATGTCCCGGCTGTGACAGTCAACATGTGTCATACCTGAGTGGTTCCAAGTGGACTCTGGTCGTGTGGTGCATCATCATCACCGGAGAAAACTCTGAACTCTGAAGGAGGACAGGTGACATGTGTTGCTGCTCTTCTCACTGTGGCTGCTTGTTAATTGGTGGAACATTCTGCCTCTGCCAGCTCTCTCCCTGGATCAGGTCTCATTATCCTCTGGGACCTTTGACCTGGGAATAATTAGACCTGGTAAACTAAAACAAACTGAAACTAAACGCAACCGCATTAAAACTAAAGTGAACTTCCCTTAACACCGAACAAACTAAACTGAACAGAAATTAAACTAAAGTGAAACATAAAGTAAAGTGAATCGGCTCCAGACAGTAAACGGACCTTGTGTTGGCATCGTCTTGTTAAGTAAACCCGTCTCTCTTTGTTCTTTCAGACTCTATGACGGTGCGGCGAGGAAAGAAGCTCAGCATCTCCATCCAGGAACACATGGCCATTGACGTTTGCCCTGGCCCCATCAGACCCATCCGACAGATCTCTGCCTACTTCCCCCGCCTGTCCCCCACCTCCCCCGGCCCAATCTCCCCGAACCCTGTCTCCTCCCCTCTGGCCCTCAGCCCAGGTTCTGTGGCCTCCGGGATGGGCGGGGCCCACCTCCTGTCTCCCCTGCTGGCCCACGGCCGGCCGGCCGGGGGCGGGTCTTTGTCCCTGACCAGCAGCGTGGACACGTCGGTGGAGATCAACAGCTCCGACAGTGACGACTGCAGTGAGCCTCGCTGTTGGCATGTGTCTGTGTGTGTGTTTCTGTGCATCCCTACTCACCTGCAGGCTTTTTGCACGAGTCGGCCTCATGTTTCGCACTATAGCTCCGGTCTCGACAGTGCTGAACGCTCAAGCTCCTCTAAGATCTTTTTTCTTCATTTATTCGTGACAAGAGATGTTAGCTGTAGCTTTTAGCTAGCTTGAAATGTATGGTAACGGGTCCAGCTGCAGCCGCAGAACGAATCTGAAGGAAGTTGAACTTCTGAATACGATTCATGGGCTGGTGGGGTCTGACAGAGAATGTAGCCTATGTTAGGGTGACCATATTCTGGTCTATCCTTATTTCTTTGCTTGATAGTAGCTAAAATTGTTACCTTTCATAGCTGTCATTTACACTGTGGACGCTGGGGACATGTCCCCACCACTTTATTAAAGGAGACCTAATATGCGTTTCCACAGTTTTTGACTTATCTACAATGTCATAATGTTGGATGTTCATGTTAAACATGGCTAAAGCTTCAAATAACGAGGTTAAAGTATTTAAAAGAAATCCCTGTGAGCCAAAACCTCAGATTGAAGTCATTGTAGTCAATGCTTGTGCTCGCACCAGAAGCGCCACAGCCCGTCCCAGAACCGGCTCTCCACTTGAATCATGCAAAGCTTGCAAACAGGAGTCACAGAACTACAATATAGGACTGGAAAAACAGAATAATAGGTCTCCTTTAATGCATAAATTGTTAAAAAAGTGTTCTGAAATGTAGCTTGCCGTTAAATAACAAATGAAAATGCCTTTAGAAAGGTTTAGTTGCACATTAAACAAAAAAACATGCAGTGCAATTAAAATATAGAAGAAAAAAATGTCCAAAAACAAGTAACTTCAGTAAAAAAAAACAGCTGCTGATTAGAAAATGACCCCAAAATGTGCAGCAGCGATCAGTAACTTTAACAACTTCTTGTCACAGTTTCTTTTTGGCCAAGTTTTTGTTCTCTCCCTGTGAACATGACAAAAGAGAAGACTAAACCACGCCTACAAACAGATCTGAACGCAGCACAGAATGACTGAGAGCTGCACTGACTTAGATTCTATTATATTTATATATTTTGAAATGTCACCTGCCTCCTGAATATTGTTTCCTTTTACATAAATAAAAACATTTCCACCATAAATTGGAGCAGAAACTTTCACCTGAATGCAGGAAATGACATATCGTGAAGAGTCTCTTCCCCTAATCTGAACTCCTATGTCCCCACCACCATTCAACACAAAGTGACGCCCTTGTTACCTTTAATACATTTTCAGTCTGCAGCTGCTTTACTTCTTTCCCGCTAACAAATTATCATAATAGAAATGTAAACGCTCCGTATTTGTGTAGCGCTTTTCTAGTCTTTTCGACCACTCAAAGCGCTTTTACACTACATCTGCATTCACCATTTATTCAGTGAGCCTAAGTGCTCAAACACAAACGAACATTCACTCACTGGCGGAACAGCCACCAGGCCTCTTCGTATTTGGAAGCTCTACTTCCTCCATGTTCGTGTTGTGGCTGCAGCTGGATATTCACGAAACGTTCATCTCCAGGCCTGAGTTGTGTCACAAAATAATGATATAATTGAAATAAACATGCAGCTGCCGTCGGCTACGTAGACACACCGGTGTGTTTTGTCTAATCACCTTTACTGCTGTTTAGACAAAATTAATTTAGACAAAAGTTTTTAGGGAATAAATTAAATCAGTGTAATCAACAATTTAGTCTACTAGAATGCAGCAAAATAAATTTACATAACATTTTACTGAACAGTAAATTGGTTGGATGGTGTTCTACCTGATGACATTAGTATTTCTAAAAGGCCCTGCCGACTCCACTGTGATCAATAAACAAACACAAAACAACATAAATAATGCAACACGCACCTCCTGTAACATGTGTGTTTTTGTGAGAATCCTTCCACGTCTCGAGCGGATGACAAACATTAAAGCAGCAGACTGCAGATTAAAACACAATCTATATGCTCTGGAGACGCTGATGGTCGATTTGGCTTTCAGGTTACAGCGTTATCCCCCAGAAGAAGAGCTTCCTGAGAGGGGAAGCAGAGCAGGGAAGAGATCACTGCTTCATGCTCTCTATCAGCACGTCACTCCCAAAATTAGAATAAACTGAGATAAATGGCTCCGACTGAACGCTGCTATCAGAGCTGCAGAGCCTCTGACATGTTGTCGAGCGCTGAAGTCTAATTAGGGGTTTTCACCACCTTTATTCCCCCCCCCCCCGAACATGATGAGATTTGTTTTGCAGCCACTGGTTGATGATTTTATTTGTTTTATAGTAATGAAAGCCTGAGGGAGGAGCAGAGCGTCACAGTTTGACTCCAGGCTTTGATCAAACATAAAAGACACTTTAAGTAACAAAGCACCTTTTTATAACAGACTTTTTGAGCCCAAATGATCCCGACAGAGTCCACAGGCATCGTCCACAGGCTCAGATTTCATCACTGTAGATCATTATTACTTTGCAGCGATGTCTTTATGGTGCAATTGTTTGTGCATAATGTTTTTACAGCAGCCGGTCGTCTCTGCTCCGGGCTGCTGCCTGTCAGTGTAGGTGGGTGGAATTACCTCCATGAGCATTCAAATTAAAAAACCTGCATAAAAAGTCTGAGTGGAAAGTGCACTGAGAGCTTTTTTATTTCCAGTTGGTGTTCAGGACTGCAGCAGAATCAGCAGAGAGTGTTTAACCACATGCTGTAGCTCTGAACCCGTTTGTTGATCTGTTAGAATCGTTAACCTGACATCTGAAATTCATTCTCATCGTCAAAGAGTTTTGCTCTGTAGCAACTGTCACTGATGGCCAAGCACAAGCATTTATGTCTCTAGTGAAGGTGATTTAAACATCACCTGCTCTGGTCAATGGTCATCTTTCACCCCAAACCCCGGTAACGATTACAGCCACAATGCCCTCCTGTTTATCTGTAAACTGGCTGCTCGTGCTGTAAATCCCGTCTGGAGAGACGTCCTTGTCTTCCAACGGGGATCTCTGACCTGCTTGTTTTTCTGCTTTATTTTTAATTTAACGAGCACAAAAACAGAAACTAGTCCGAACAGTGACCTTGACAAGAGGCTCACACCAAGTCTTCAGCTAACTAAATAAAACCGTTTCAGATCGAATGTGAAACAGTGAAATAACAGCAGCTCTCTACGCATGTGATTCCCCTCACGTTTCATTGCGGTCGGTGGATCATGATTAATACAAGCCGAACCTCTCGGGGGGGAAAGGCTGTTAAGCTTCACACACCTACACAAGCACTGGTGGGGGGGGGTAGATAGAATGTGACACAATAGCGCAGCGCTTGATTTGCTCACTTTTACTAGCCTGTTTTCACTGCACATGTTGCAAGACGTTACATCCACAGGAGCAACTAAGATTTATTTTTTTTACACAAATATCCTGTGGTTCATAAAAACTACCAAAAAAAAGAGTGGTTGTGGTAAAAGTTACTGAGATACAGACCTCAGGGGCCTCACTGGAGGCTAGAGCGGGGGGCAAGGGCCTCCCATTGTGTTGCTTTGGGGTGGGGACATAAGGGCTCAGATTAGGGGTGTGATGATAAAACAACTTTAGGCTTTATTTTAACACATTTTGAGGAAATGTTCAATTTCCTGCATTGTGGAGAAATTTTCTTCACCAATTTATGGTGTCTTTATTTATACTAGTGCAGTGTCTGTTCACAGGGGCCAATGGGACGTATTCGTGCAATTTTTGTTTAAAATTGGTTTCACCTGCAGGGTTAATAACAGGGAAACAACACGACAATGGCAAGGCAAGTTTATTTGTATAGCACATTTTAACAACAAGGTAATTCAAAGTGCTTTACATAAAACATAAAAGCAACAGGGAAATATAAAAAAGTTTAAAAGCAACATAATATATAATAAAAGTTACAGTGTTACAATCAGGGTTAAAAGAGTTAAATGGATAAAAGCAATGATGAAAAGCTAAAAACAAAGAAAAAGAAAACAGAACAGTAAAAGTTACAGTGCAGTGTAAGTTATCAATAAAAAGAAAAATCTTAAATATTTAATTAAAAGCAATGGTAAAAAGAAAAGTCTTCAGTCTTAATTTAAAAGAACTGAGAGTTTCAGCAGACCTGCAGTTATCTGGGAGTTTGTTCCAGATATACGGAGCATAATAACTGAACGCTGCTTCTCCTTGTTTAGTTTTGACTCTGGGGACAGAAAGCAGACCTGATCCCAGACGACCTGAGAGGTCTGGATGGTTCATAACGAAGCAGAAGATCAGAAATGTATTTTGGCCCTAAACCATTTAGTGCTTTATAAACTAACAGCAGGATTTTGAAATCAATTCTTTGACATAGCCAATGTAAAGACCTCAGAACTGGAGTGATGTGATCCACCTTTTTGGTCTTAGTGAGGACTCGAGCAGCAGCGTTCTGAATCAGCTGCAGCTGTCTGATGGATTTCTTAGGGAGCCTGTAAGGACACTGTTACAGTAGTCAAGTCGACTGAAGATAAATGCATGGATAAGTTTTTCCAGGTCCTGCTGAGACATAAGTCCTTTAATCCTTGCGGAGATACTGCTAGATATTCAGGGCTTCCAAGGGCGTCACACTGTGTTGAAAAGTGGTGGGGACAAAAGGTCAGAGATTAGGGGTGTGAAGAAAGACTTTGGTCACGATAACAAGACGTGGAGATATTTTAACACTATTTTGAGGAAATATTTGATGCTGAAATATGAGTGGGGGGTCTGGGGTCCAGAAGATTTTGAGCATTAACCTCTTAATTTCCTACATTCTGGAGACATTTTCAGCACTAATTTACGGTGAAAATGTCTTTATTTATATGGAGGGAAACACAAATTCAAAATATAAAAATATAATGAAATATAATGCAGTAATCAGTAGCTTTTTTGTTGCTTAAGTTACTTTCTTGGACAACACACATTTGTTTCTTCTAAATTTAAATTGCATTACATGTTTTATTATGGCGCAAATAAACCTCTCCCAAATAAATTTTATTTGTTATTTACACATTTCATGTTGCAAGATATTTTTCAGAAAACCTTTACGTCCCCAGCGTAAATGACACCTATGAGCACTTCCTTAGAACTTCATCAAACTCTTACAACTCAGTTTCAACACATTTCTAACATATCAAACCTGCGTGATGACGATAACTCTGTTTCAGCAATTCGCTAACACATCGGAGCTGTTCACAGACGCGAGTCACAAAGTACTGGGGGTGCACGACTTTGAAAAAATGTGATATTGCGATATTGATCAGGAATAGTACACAAAAAATACATAGTATGTGACACTAAATACATTAGGTGCAGACCTGGTGCGTACTACACAGTCCAACTATTGCTTGGTGTGTTAGACATACAGAATATAGTAACAGAAGACAACAGCGCCAAGCCAAAGCTCTTCAGATCATGTCTCCTGTGGCTGATATCTGATCCTATTAGATTGTTAATTCTGAAGCATCAACGTTACGGCAGCATTTCACTGCTGCAGCTGCTCGAGCTGGACCTAGAAACCATATACATATTTAGCCAATGTAGTAAAGGAGAACAATATTTTCTGGTGAAATGTAGTGGAGTAGAAATATAAAGTACTATAAAATGAAAATGCCTCAGGAATATAATTAAGGACGGTCCTCGAGTAAATGCCCTGTACTTAGATACTTTCCTTCACTGCATAACTGCAACCCCAAACATCTTTTTATGTCCTTTGTGGGTCTCAGCAGACTGTAGAGACGGGAGCAGGAGTAAAGCTGCTGCTGATGTGCTGCTTCTGATGCAGAGCCAGTGTTGTAGAAATAAAATGCAAATGATCTGAGTGACTCTCAGACAGCAGCTGTGATTCTGATACCCACTTAATTTAATTCAGCTATAGAGAAGAAATAACAGGAACCTGTTTCATCTTTCCAGAAATCCTCTCTGGGAACCGAAAACTAGTGCAGCCACGGATGGATTATTGAGACAATGAGCCCCTGAGCACAGATATATAAAGGGCCCCCACCACCCAACATAACAGCAAGAGCCCCAGACTGAGAGACACCAGATAACCACCAACAACACGTCTCCTTTGGTCATTTTTTGTCTTTTTGTGAATGATTTGTTGGGTTTTTTTGTGCCTTTTTTTTCTTCTTTTTTTGTGGTCATCTCCATGTGATTGTCTCTTTGTGGTCATTCTTGTCTCTTTCTAGCCATTTTGCATTTCTGTATTTCCCCATGTGGTCGTCTCTTTGTGGTCGTCCCTGTGTCTCTTTCCAGTCATTTTGAATCCTTGAAGTCATTGTGCATCTCTTTTTGTGATTCATTTTGCATCCCTTTTTTGTGGTCATGAATTTGTAGATATCTCCATGTGTCTCTTTCTAGTCATTTTTGTCTCTTTCTAGTCATTTCTGCATCCCTGAAGTCATTTTGCATCTCTTTTTGTGATTCATTTTGCATCCCTTTTTTGGGGTCATGAATTTGTAGATATCCCCATGTGGTTGTCTCTTTGTAATCATCTCTGTGTAGTCGTCTGGGCATCTGTTATTATTAATCAATTTCCGTAATTTTTTGTGGTTGTCTCTCTGCATAGTCGTCTATTTGTGGTCGTTTTTGTCTCTTTTATAGTCATTTTGCATCCCTGAAGTCGTTGTGCATCTGTTTTTGTGAATCATTTTGCATCTGTTTTTTGTAATCGTCCCTGTGTAGTCATTTTTGTCATTCTAGTCATTTTGCATCTCTTTTTTGTGGTCGTCTCTGTTTGTTTGTCACTTTGTAGTCGTTTTTGTCTCTTTCTAGTCATGGTGCATCTCTATAGTCATTGTAGATCTCTTTGTGGTCATCCTTTTGTAGTCATCTCTTTGTAGTTGTCCCTTTGTAGTTATTTTGTGTCTCTTCACGGTCATTTTATGTGCTCCATGCTTTACATGGTCGTTTGTAGTCGATGGATTGACTTTCCAACAGGAAATGGTAACAGATCGGCCGGTTTGAGGTCATCAGAATTTAACCAGGAAGGTGCAAGATTCCAGCTGTCTGTTTTCAGCATTGGTTGAAATACCGCAGAGCAGCTTACAGTTTAGCATAACAATACAGTATGTTGTGTAAGCAGCGGTTTGTTGGTATGTAAGAGAGCTGATGCCTAAAATACATTTGTTGTAATCCCTGTGAATCATATGCTTTATGTACCATCTTATATAACTGCAATGGAAGAACACCATGTTGCGTGTGTTTCTAGTATGAACATGTTTGTACCTTTCTCCGCAGTATGTATGCATGGGTATAACAAGCCCTGACAAATGTGTTTGCTCTCCTTTTAAGAGGATTTTCCGTGTTGACATGTGATGTGCTGTGTTCAGATTCATGTGACAGGTGCTGCTCCACTAAATTGGATTTCCATCTTCTGAACGCATGGTGTCCCTGAGATGTTTCTCTGTTCTCTTGCATGCTTTCAATTTATTCTGACAGATTTTCAACAGTGTCATTTTTCTGTCCGCTGATGCGATGGTTGCATATCATGTTATTTTTTCATTAGTTATGATGATTGTCTTTCTCCTCTTGTGTTATTTCCTCAGCTGCTCTGGGAACCCTTGAGTTTGAGCTGCGATACGAGCAGAGCTCCAGTGAGCTGCACTGCACTGTGCTCCGGGCCAAGGTAAGGTCGTTTTCAAAGCATGGGTGTTAACACGCTGCTACCACAGCCTCCGTTCTTCTGGTTTCAGGCTTTACATCAGAGAGAGGGGTTTGCTCACATTCAGCCACAACTGCTTTAAGGCCTCAGTACGTTTCAAATTAGGTGCTTGTCAAAAATCATAACCATACTTCAGGGACGCTGGCAGTCAGTCACAGTTAGGGGTGCTAACAGAAGGTCAGTCTATAAAATGACGTTGGTTTGTGGAGTACCATTTTGAAGCCTTGAGTTTGTTGAATTTCAGGCACTGAACTTGACCATATTTGGAAGAGAGGGTGGCGCTAGCAAGCTTGGTTAACAATGTGCATCTGTAATTCACATTAGCTGTGATATTAATTTGTACTAATGTACTTACCAGAAAATTTAACAGCCGAGCAGATACGAGTCGCCTCTATCCTGATTAACAGGTTGTCATGGTAGAGACTTGTCAATCACCTTGTAGCCCCGCCCAAAAGCCTCCCCTGCTTCCTGGTCTCTGTTCCTCTAAATGGGACCATAATTTACTAAATGAACATCATGCTGTGTTGAAGAAGACTTGAAGCGACTGAGACCATAAACTCATCAGGAAAGTGTTTACTGAGGTAATAAATCAGCTGAGAAGACAAGAGACGTCCTTTCCTCCAAAGCGTCATGTGAAGCGAGGTCAGTTTCTGATGACGGCGGCAGCTGATCACAGCTGGATCAGTCGGCTCTGAAAGCTGTAGAGACGTTTGATGGAGTTTGTGTCTGCACACATGTGCATTGTGTTGGTACTAATAAAGTCTCACAGTTAACAATCAGAGCAGCATGATTCTCTGTTACCTGTTTAACAAACACCTGCGCATGAATAATTACAGGTTACTGTGTGTCCCGCTCAGAGGCACAGGATCATTTCTACTGGCACAATGCTGATATTATCTGCATTTAGATTTATTGATTGTGAATTTGTCATTGCATAAGCCAGAATATGATCAGGCTAAATGTTTAAGGGAAGTTGAAATGATGTAATCTGATATCATTTAACACTACTGCATACATTTTATTTGCAAGTCACATCACTTGTCACCGATTAATCAATGAGTTCCATCATATCAATCCAACGATTTTTTTGTAGCGCAGCAGCTTTCATTAATTATGGAGCTGATTTTACTCACAGAGCCGCCGGCTGCTTCCATCAGATGCAGTATGGGAATCTGCTGGATGTGCAGGCTTTATTTTCATTAGAGACTTTAGTGCAGTTTAGTGACTTGTCCGACTCCTTAGGCTACGTGTTTACCATGTTTTATTGACGTCTATTTGGACTAAACATAGAAATGAGCAGCCTCACATGTGACTGAATAGAAATGACGATAAATGATGTAAAACATGTTTCTTGCAGACAGACTCTCCGACTCTCTCTGACTTTGTCTCCATAATAAAAGTTGATGGGAGAAATAAATATAAAATCTTTCTAGTAAAATGAAGAAAGTTGTGTGTGGGGCTTATGTTGTTGAGACCTACAATGAACATAGGTTCACAGAAAGGTTTCATACCACGTCCATATTCACTCTTTCTCTCGCTCGTACACATGAACTTTCTTACTTAACAATGAAAATTGTTGAGTAAGAAAGATCATGACTTTATGAAAAGATGAACATGTTGCTAAATACCCATATCTTGCTGTCCATATTGTCTTATGTCTTACGGCTTCAGCTGCAGATCCTCAACTAACAGCTGAACTGGTGTTGAGCATGTCGAGGATGTGGGCTGGTGCAGAATCTTGTTTAGGCTCTCAAGCGGCCCACAGAGCGACCCGGAGCTCCCGATGGCCCGACTATAGTTTCTTGTCCTAATCGTTCACTAATTTATCGAACTTTCTTACGTCAGCTCAGCCCAAAAGAATTCAGGATCTCAACAAAAGACACTGGTGTCTAAAAAACGTATTGACAGGGACGAGGCGGAGTAGTATCAAGGCTACCGTGGCTGCAGGGCATATCGTTTTAAAAGGGCATACAGGGTAAGGTATTATAGAAACAAAACAACAGAGCACCTGTAACAGCCTCCATACTGGACTCAAACTGTTAACTCATATTCTACAGGAAGAAACAATTGCCATCAGCCATAAAGCGTTGAGGCTTTCATCATCAAGAAGTGGAATTTAAGTGAATTTATATAGGTTTTGTTTATTGTTGTTGTGCACCTAGTTACCAAAACAAATTCCTTGCATGTGTAAAAACAACCGATCTGAACCTGATCCAGGGGAGGTCTGGGGTCTTTAGAGACCTTTATTCCTGCATCCTTGAAAATTTTCTGCATCACGAACCAAATCAGAGACAGAAGCATTGCCAAGTAGTTTTTTGCTCTGGTGACGAGGTGAGCAACAACAATAGCGGTGACTCGTTGTGACATCTGTGATAACAGCGGGTGTCAGGGTTTGGTCTGTGTGTCTGCCTGTTTCCTGTTTTATTTTGAAATTGTCCATGTCAGGTGTGTCTTGCTTTGTTTCCTGTCTGCTCAGAGGGCTGTTTCACAACAGCAGAATTTAGAAATCCAGGATAAGAGATAAAGCTAGGCTTGACCTTGTGTGATCAGTGCATCCTGGCTTTATCAGTTTCACGAAGGCCAAACCAGGCTCAGGAGGAGCGACTATGTCAAGCCAGGTGTAAGTAATTCAGATAAATGGGTGTCAAAAGCTTTATTCAAGAGACCACACGGTCGATCACAGATTCATTGATGCTGAAATGGAAAAAAAACGCATGCAGCATACTTTACACATAGTGAGTAACATCGAATGAAGAAGGTTTACGATGAACATAATGTTTTAAAAAAGAGAAAGAAACACGGCCACTGTATCAAAACAGCAAGAAAAAGCGTGGCAAACAATATTGGACCGACTGAATGAGTAAGTAGCTAAAAATATCTCTGCTCTCTGTGGTGGAAATTGTATTCCTGGTGAGGGGTTGAGCAAATAATTGAGTTACAACGAACTGTTGTCTTTGAAGAATTTATTTAACAAAAGAGAATAAACAGAGAAGTACTGCAACAGAATCAGCTGGAGGTTCTGTCTCCTAAGACAGTCACTAACGTCTGGCCCAGAGCAAAGGGCTGCATGATCATTTACACAGTCTGAGCATCTATGTTTTGGGGAAAAAAGATAGCAGTGAGTGAGGAAAACAATCAACAATCCCACATCCCATAAGAGCGCAGATTACTTGGTTCAGGAGATGTGATGATGCACAATTCTGTGTTAATAATATTTTAACTCTATTCTGAAGTAATATTCAACGCTGAAATATAGGAGTGGGCAGTCTGGGAGTCCTCCCCAGACGTTTCTGAGCATTAAACTCTTAAGTTCCTGAGTTCTGGAGAAATATTCTGCACTTTCCTAAAGCATTTTCAGTTAGTTTTTCATTGCAAGCAACATTATTAACAAATGCTTTTAAGAAGTGTGTGTATATATAGTAGGCCTAGGCAGAGAGGCTGGAGGTCTGTCAGTTTTGTGTGAAAATGGTGTACTTGTTTAATCAATATGGATAATAGATAAGGAGTCAGTGATTTGGTGCTCATAGAAAATACTGTATCATATTTGTAGCTTTACCCTGAGGCGGCAGTCCTACAGTCTGACAGCCAGTCTGGGAATGTAGTAAGTTTTACCTGAAGGACATCCACAGGTGAACACTTCCTGCTGTGCTAATTGATCTGATTTACAAACTGTCAGATGTCTGAACTGCACACACTTAAAAAAGTAAGAAAATAAAATATCACCAAAAACCCCGGCAGGACTTGGACCTAGATATGGAGATAGAAGGAGGTGCTGAGGAAACTGGAAATCCAAAATTGGAAAAAAAACATTGTGGTGTCCTCTCCCTGCTGTTTCATGAATAAACCGTGCAGAGATGGTGTTTGACCCACAAGTGACACCAGGCCTGTAGTGATCAACAACTTACCCATTACTCAGGTTAACTCTTCCAAGTACCTTGGTGTGCATATCGATGATGATATGATACGGATTCAGTAACACTTTCACGACCTTTATAGAACTCACAAGGGGGATGGGATGCTTGCAGAAGCAGCAGCCGGTAGCTCCTTCAAACTTCAAGTTCAAGGAGTCTTTATTATCCCCGGGGGGCAATTCGTTGTGCAGCAGCATGTGACATAAATAATACATGTTATACAAAACAACAGCCATACATCAGTAAAAAAATGAATACATTCTACACAGAAGTCCACAACTCACAGTGACTTATTAAAAAAGCCTATAGCAGCAGGGACAAAAGAGTTTCTGTGTCTGTTTGTCCTGCATTCAGGCAGACTGAATCTGCGGCCAGACGGCAACAAAATGAAGCAGCTGTTCAGGAGGTGACTTGGGTCAGCCAGGACTGACTGTGCCTTCTTGAGGGTCCTTGTCTCGTATACCAAATTTAAGTCAGTCAGAGGGTTGTGGGAAATTTTGCCACACACCTTAACTATATATAGCAACTATGTATTGCTTGTTTTTAAGCGTGAGAGACCCAAACCAGCTCACAAAGGCAAAAGAAAGAATAGATTCAATAACAACAATAAAACATCCTCATAAAAGTTTACAATAAAAAAACATACGTTGATGTGATTTCTTACAGACAGCGTCAACTTGTGGCTCGAAAGTGAGTTTGTCATCAATTATAATACCAAGATATTTGTATTGCGTCACCGCTTCTATAGCTTGATCGTTAATGAGGGTAGAAGGGGGGGGGGGGGGGGGGGGGGTTCTTTCTAAAATCGATCAGCATTTCTTTAGTTCACGTTAATGTTAATGAAAGATGACTTGCACCACTCAGTGGCTCAGCAGCGACACGATCACTGAGTCATCAGCAAACTTTATGATATGTCGCCTGGTGTGCTGGCTTTGGCGTGCGTATGTATATAAAATAAAAAAGATCGCGGAGAGGACGCAGCCCTGGGGGGAACCAGTGGAGGATAAAATGCTATTCACTCTCTAATGCGTTGAGACCTATTAGTTAAAAAGT